CATTATTTAACGTAAATCAAATGTTTCCAAGAAAATTACATGAAATTTTCTTACAGAATATAAAGTTTTAAATTTTTTTTCTAAGCTTGTTAAAAATTATTTAAAATACACCGAATCAAGCCAAAGGCCATTGTTAAAAATACTATTTCATTGAACTTGTGTGAAAGAAGAAGTGAAATATAAAAATATTTCATGGATATGTTTATAACCTTAAATATATTTACTCTAGTTTAATAACTCTAGATATGATATTATATTTAAGTAATTAGGTATCCATCGGCCGTTTATCCCAAAAATCATTTATTAACGTTTTACAAAATTAAATTAATAAATAATTTGATGAATTTTCCCTTTGTGAAATCCCAATATTATCCACTTACAATTAGTGGGACAACTTTTGACTTATCCATGTCAGGCAATGAAAATCTCGTAATTTTATTTTATTTAACTTTACGATGAAAAAGAACAGTTTGATAACTAATAGTCCTACAATCCATAATTATTTATATGTTAAATATTCAGATACGCTTTCAAATCTCTCTAGGCACATATGAGCCTTTCGGTTAACAGAATGACTAACTCCAATTTCAACATTCTTTATTATTTATTTTAGTGATGTTTCTAGTGGCAAAATTTATACCTATATTCACAGTTCTATATTCCAACACTGCAATCACCTACTCTGGAATCAACTCACTATAGTGTATATTATAGTATAGATATAACTTTATGGGAGTTATTCATTCTGTCAACTGAAAGGCTCAGAGTTATGTGGTTTATAAAAGCTGATTGAATAACTCGATTTTTATTGCCTACCGTCGATGTAATAAATAAACTTTTTTGTAATTTTAATGGTCTTAATGTTTTGTTATCGTTAAGCTTTAAGCTTTAAGCTTAAAAATGCACTTCAAAATTTTTATAGTAGCCCAGCCTTTCCAGAAAATAATGTCTATTCAAAGTAGAGCGGTAAGTGAAAGTTGTGTGTTGTGTGCACCAGATTTTTACTCTATATTTTAGTGAGCTGCAAGTGAAACATAGAAAAAGAAAATTTGACATAGCTTCTTCCAGTGAATCAGTGAATATGATTCACCGTCTCTATTCCTTCACCGTCTTCACTTTATTTTTTATGAACGAGGAAGATATTTTTTTTTCCATATCCAGCCTCTTCTGGGTATTTTTTTTCTGTTGAACATAACTTTAAAATAACTTGTTTACAGAATAAATGTTCCTTTCTTTTCATTAACCTACGAGCCAATTCGAAATATTAGAGCAAAATATGTGAAAATAATGAATGAAATTTTATGAAATTGATGCAGGAACAATCCGCACCATTTCTAAAAATTTCATGAAAACCGGATTAACAGAAGTAAGTGATATGCCCATCACATGGATTTCACTAAAGACATACCTAAAAGGAACAAAAAGTATTCCTTAATGTACAGAACGAAAAACACAAGCGGAATGTTTTGATTTTTAGTAAAAAAATATTTGTAACCTCCCACACGAATGGAAAACTTCTCTACTTTTTGGTGAAAAAATATTATGAGAACATCACCCTATATGGATATACGAATTCAATTGTAAATACATTTTTACTATCGCACTACTTTCCCTTACGGTATATTTCATATATGGATAAGTGAAAGTAAAAAATAATAGGTATTTTACGATACTAGAATGGCTGTTGTAAAAATACTTCAAATGTAAATAACTTAACATTTACATTTATTACTCGGATCTCTAGACATTAAAGGTATATTTAAAAATCATACCAAATTCATGGTTAGAAAAAACATTGTAAATAAGTATGAATTTTTTAAAATATATTTTATTTAATTTTGCCTCAAATTTTATTTCTTCTGTTTCACTAAGTTTTCTTTTTCTTTTCTTCTGTTATAATTTTTCTATTTATTTTATTTGTAATTGTTTATATATGTTATGAAGGAGTCTCTTAAATCGCAAATACTAATACCCTTAATTGAGGCAAAATGTATTTGTTTGCTTAATTGCTTAACAGTATTAGAAGGAAGAAAAACATAGAAAGTACAATTGTATCTTTGGTCGCCATTAGAATGACTCTTGTAGAAAAATGCGGCATGATTTAAACATATAGCGATTTCGAACACTGTCTAAAATAGATACACCTATACCAACACATCACATCCAGCGACAACATGTCATCTCCAACAGTGCTAACATATTGAACTTCCAAACCATATTTCACTACCTTACGTCTACAGCTACAACCAAGGCAAACGCCTATCCGCAAACCTTCAACTAAAGGAATTTATATTGGAAAAAGAGCTTCCAAGTTCCCTCATCCTCGAGGAATTCCTACGTTGAACAAGGAATGCTCCCGGCGAGATTGAGCAAAAACATCTCCTACATTTTTTGTATCAATACTCCGCTAACGGACCCCTTTCTTAGAAATCTACCAAATAGCGAACTTCAAAGGACTTATCCTTAAGGAGAACGAACATTTTTAAAACATTACCATGTCACATACTTCTAACAAAATTTTTTGGATCCTTACACGTGTAGCATAGATAGCCGAAAATGAAATGGCCAACCGAATTGTGCCTATTTTTCGAATTAATGAGAGCAAGAAATAAAATAATAAACAGAAGTTAATGTTGCAATATTAAGTGTTGGATGATTTTAAGACAAAGCTTAGTAATTTAGATGGAGGTACTATTTTATCGCTGAAGTTGCTCAAATCTTTTCTCCAGGAACCGAGTAAATCCAAGAAAGTGAGATAATACCCTTCTCTGTATCTCTATAACTTTTCAATAATTAAAGCACTGAAATGCCAAACATCTATGCGCCATTAACAAAGAATTTCAGAATTCCAATTACAAGTAGAACAGAGCAGTAAATCTAATACATTTCTTACTTTTATATTCATACAATTAGTAAATAATATCATGACTAAATAATAAGTAATAATTATATATTTTATAATTGTTAAGTGTTCATGTACGCTTATTTGTCCATGCTAATGTAATTTAAATTTGAGATTAGACTTAAGCGATGAATTAATTACTACAAAAGATTCATCTATGGAGCCATTTATCAATACATTAGCGTAACTTTACTTTATTAGATTCTTTTTTTTTTTTACTTCCTCCGTGTCTTTATACTCCTATAATTATGAATTTAACATCCTACATAGATTCTTGATCTTTGTAATTCACTTTTTTGAACCCAAGATCTCATTTTACCGACTTATCCGAATCCATTTCTAAAGTTTTTTTACATATACCTTTAACTACTTCTTTTCGTAATGTCTCTCCTCCAATTTCTTTCTGACACCACTTACTCTTTTTTTACAACCCATTTTCCTACACAAACAACGGTTTATAATATTATTTAATAAAATATGATCTTGGCAACAAGACTTTATTAAGTATCGGTAAAAAAGGGCATTTTTACTCTTAATAATTAAAATAATTTATTTTAAATTTCTCCAAATCTTCGCCTCGTTCTACATCTTCAGGGATAAAATCTGATTTTACAATATGTCTGTTGTATACTATACTTAGCTGAGCAAGATGGTGCAATGCTATGAGCGAATAAAAGTTCACAATATATTGTAAAATCAGATTCTATTCCTAAAGATGTCTGAAGAGGCGAAATATGTGGATAATTATTGAGACTAAAAATGTCTTTTTTCTACTGATTATTATTTAATTTACTGATTTCCTATTTCCACAGTCGACTAGTTTTTATTAAATTACGAACATTGTTAAATTAAATCACTTCATTAATTACTGAAAATAAAATATAAACATATCCAAAATGCCTTACCAGTTACTAACTTAAAAATCCCAACCTCTCTAATGATCTAATTTAAAATTAAATATTCTCTTAGAAATTCTCAAAAATATTAATAGCCCAAGACCCTATGAACTAAATCTTGCTATACTCAGATCTCATTATTCATCATAATTAGGGTTTTACTCCCACTGGAAAAGGAGGCCGATATGAAATAAGCAATCAACTTCGATGGACTTCGAAAAAGCCTTGAGCTGGAATGATCCCAGAAGCTAAACAAGCCTCTTTTAATATCGGGCTCTTTGCAATAAGCTTTTCTTGTAATTAAGAAAGGAGAGAGCGATAAATGTGGAATGTCTCATTTTCTTCATTTGGAATGTTCTCATTCTGTGTAACTGCCATTTTCATCTAATTAGGAATACAAGAGAAAATACCTCTCTACTAAACTTTGTATAAATTATTATGCAATACTCAAATCCTTGGAATGTTTTACCATAATAAATCTATTTAGACTAATGCTGTATTTAAAAAAAAAATAATCCACTAATTAACGAAGTGACAATAATGTTCTCATATCAATTCAACAGAAGGCAAAAGACCACGCGGAAGGCCAAAGAGGAGATGTATAGATAAAATTGACAAAGATGCAACTGAGCTGCGTGCAGATAACTGGTAAGAAATAGCGCAAGACTCTCATGGATCCAGGATTTAATTTTGGGGGCTTCAGCCCGAAAGATTTTTTTTAGTATGTGTATATTAAGATAATTACTTCGGAAGAAAGGAATAAACTAATTACCTATATGGAATGATGTTTAAGTGATTCTTTAATACCTATTAAATGTAATTAGACGAACAATAATACTTTTAGAGATCATTTTTTTCATAAAACATTTTACCATATTGGGGGAGGGGAGGCTTCAACCCGAAAGCTCCTTCCCCCGTAGATTCGCCTGGAGCCCAAGGCAAGCAGAGATGTAGTAGGCTTGTTATGGCGGCAAAAAATCTACATAGTCTGTAATGTCAACAGAAAAAAAATAAATGAGTGCATAATTAATTTAAAACACGATTTCAACACTAATCAACCATTTTACAATCATATCACGAAACCAAAATTTTATTACATCGAAGACGAAACCAATTCCTTACATAAATTTACGACTTTAGCGCTGAGATAAAATTTACAAGACTACAGCCCGCAATAATTGTTGAAGTACTCGTAATAAACAGTCATATTTTCGAAGTCATGTGTAAAATTTTTTTAGATGTAAATCTCAATCAATTTAAAAGACCATCAAAATTAAATGACTAAACTCTGATTTCAAAATTAAATTTGGCATACTTTTCAAAGTAAGTCTAATGTCGAAAAAAATGGACAACTCTTTCCTACAAACGAGAAGATTATTCGGTTCGAAGGAAGGCGATGAAAATCCCACAGATGTGAGTAGAGTATAATTTCTTTAATTAGTAGATTAGTAGATTTACGGTCTGATCTTATACGGATGTACTTATACGAATGTTGGAGTAAATTCAAACAAAATACTTAAAAATTATTTGCTTATATAACATGAACTTTAATAACAAACGTTTGGGAAAACGAAGGCAATCATCACGTCATACACACCTGTTGTTATCTTCCTCGATATCGTAGCTATTGTTGTCATTGTTGCTATTGCGCATCTAGCGCAGTTGGCAGAACCATTGATCCGATTACAAGTAAAGTAAAGGTTATTAAATCATGCATGAAATCATATGAAAAATTATTGAAAATTGAATATTTTTATTTACAGATACTCGGTAATTTACTCTGAAAATATAATTAACCTTGAAAATATAATTTCAATTTTTATAAATGAAACTTTTTCCACATTAGTTCACGATATTTCATTAAAATGAGAGACTAAATATTACCTGTATTTGTAATTAAGTTATTTACTAGGAACCCCCATACGAGACTGAAACGATTAGAAACCGCCCGACGTTTTCGACTACTGCAGCACTTCCAAGACAAACGCTCTAACCTTCCAACTATTTACAAAATACTTATATATATTACTATAATGAGGCCTATTTTGACTTACGGGATCGAGCTTTGTGGCTCTACTAAACCATCAAATTACCTATCCTTCCATAATAAACTTCTGAACCATCCAAACCCTCTTGTTTCCAACCTTGCTTCCTCTTTTATTCCTGATAACCCTCCGAGGCGTCTGAAAAGAAGATGGCTCGGGACCTCCTAATATAGAAATATAATTGGAGTGCTACCAATGGCTAGTTTCTCTTCATGTTGCATATGTCATGTTACTTGTTTCATATTTACTTGTTGTATTTATCACTTAATACAGTTGTAGATTTCAATAACAATAAAAAATAAAAAAAGGTTATTTAGTCTGTTGGGTCTTCAAACATTGGAGAGTTTTGACCTGAATCAGTCTTCTTCACATCTACTTATCCTGAGCTACTCACTTACCAGTCTGCTGCATGTAATATCTTTTTATATGTTTTTTTTCTGTCGTCTTGTAGATCTTTTGCCGCCTTAACAAGTCTGCTCCATTTCGTCTTTGGTTGTTTCTTTACAGTCCTTCACGCAGCTCTATTGCATCTTTCTTGAATTCTTCCATGTGGTCTTTTGCAATCTATTACGTAGCGGCTTGATGAATTATTACGGGCTACATGCCCCACCCATCTTAACCTCTGTGCCTTCATATCATGAGATATTTACTGACCAGTTTCTGTAAGGCGCTCTTAATAAGTCTTTTTTCTCCATTTGTTAGGTCTTTGATCTCAGATCGCTCCGGTTATCGTGCGGAGGATTTTCCTCTCAGATCTTTCAACACTTTTTGTCTAGTTAGTGCCCAGGTCTCACAGCCATATATAAGAACTGGCTTTATCATAGCATTGTACATGTTTTTTTCGGGATTTCAATACTTTTGAGAGGAAGAAGAAAGCTATGTCTGGCCGTTGGTCATTCGTTGAGGTTATTGTGGAACCGAGGTGTTTGAATTATTGATTCAATTTGAGAAACACCACTTAAATTAATAATGAAACATATTGAAATTGGAATGACTCATTCTATCAACCGAAAGGCTCATGCATGCCTAGAGAGATTTGAAAGTACATCTCAATATTTAACCTATAAATGATTATGATTTTTTAGGAATATTATTTATTAAACTGTTATTCTCATTGTAAAGTTTACTAAAATGGAATTACGTGATTTTCATTTACTGTCATGTATAGGTTATAATATCTATAACCTTATAATATCTGATCTAGTGTTATTAAACTACAGTAAATGTATTTGAAGTTATAATCATATCCATGAAATATTTTTTTATTTCACTTCTTCTTTCATACAAGTACAATGAAATAGTATTTTAAACAATGCAATGCCTTCATTTGAAGAAGCTTAGAAAACAAAATTTAAATATACATTTTATTTAATTTACTTAGAAACATGTAATTTACGTTAAATAATATTAGTTTTCAGAAATTAATATTTATATTTTTTTCTTCACTCTCCGTTACCTTCTACAACTTTATTTATTTGATATTATTTTTCTAAAATTATATGCTTTCCAACGATATATTATACGTAGATCTTCTGACTGTTATTTCCGGAGATTCATTTTCAACCTGGATATACATTGTTCTTTCTTTTCTCCAGTTTCCGATTATCACATTCCTTCAAACTTCATGTTTAGCCATTATTAAGCAAAAAAAACCGTCGTTCTACAAAAAAAATCTACTTTTTTTAGTTCTAAAAAAAATTCCCGTTTTATTTTTAGCTTCTCTATTGTGAATACTTTTTTTTCGGAACATTTTAATTTCTCTGAGTAATATATTTGTGTTCATGAGATTTTATTTTCCGAAAATACATCCGGTTAATTGATAAAATTAATTAATTTTATAACATCCATAACTTTTTCGTGATTGTGCCGTAAGCGTATCAAAGGGTAGTAAAGCTCTCCCTCTCCGACGTGGAAAAAAATTAGAATAAAGTAGCATTAAATATTAACATTAAAAAAATATAATAGCGATAATTGATGGTCCCTCTCTCCTGCCCAAATCTTTGCATAGTGACGATTTAATAATTCCTTAAAAATAATATAAATTAATAGAACTCTTTCGTTTAACATTTATATTTTATACTTTATTTTGCCTAATATTACTTTGTTAATAATGTAGAGCCTCTAAATTTGTGAAGCATTATTTAAATATAATATAATAATAATATCTCTCTTTAGAATATTTTTTTAAATCATATAATAAATAATTTTACAATAATTAATACGTTTTAAAAAAGATTTTTTTTTCTAAATATGTTCATATTCATTTGAATATATGCATCATTATATTTTAAAATAGTAAACTATAGGACATTAGGAACATATCGATTTATCATAACGTAAAAAAATATTTATTTTTTTTTTTGGGAACCGTATACATAGTTTAGATAAATTTCATGAAAATGTTTTTTACACAACACGACTATCAGAAGGGGCTCTTGAACCTACAGTAAGTTTCTCGTACGTAAACACACAAGACAGATGGACGAACTAATCGTAGAGATCTATCGGCCGTACACAAACCTATTATTGGACTTGGAAAACCTATACCATGCATCATGTTTAGGGATTAATCAGAAAATATGGTGTATCAAAGAATCAAATGATTAATAGCTTAGTGATAGATCAGCATCCAACCCCTCCCCGCTGGTGGGGATGGAGCCTATGTCGATAAACCTTTTTTTAAACAAAATTTCTTATGTTTTTTAAACGAATATGAAAGCTTTATTGTGATGTCAAATGTTCTTTATAAATCAAAATAGAAAGCCATTTCAATTTTTTATGATTATAGTTAAATCAAGGAGCGATTTAGGAATACGTATGTCGAATGTAAAAAAAAACCAAAATCACTCCAAGAATTTTAATTAAACAAATGTTTCTTCGGTAGTTTCTATGAATATTATTATTTAAACATCCTTAAACCTGATGCAAAATTAAGTTTTATGAACGTATAGGTTCTAAAATAAATAGTATTTTCAGGGTTAAGGGAGATGATAATTACATCTGAATAGTAACAAAAATTACAATTTTTGACTTCTTTTTTTTATTCTCCCCGTGAAATCTTCTTCGATTGCATAGTAAAAACATAATATTTAGCAAATCTAGAATCACCCCTCATTATTTAACCATTGAGAACTGAGATGCCCTGTATGTATATACATACATGCAGTTTTGATTATCTATGATGATTATTATCTTAACTATTCCCACATTTGCGGATTAGTTAAGCGGAAGCTGAAGGCGGGGGACATGTCCAATCTCTACAGGTATACAATTTTTTTTTCAAATATTTAAAAAATGTCTAATCATTCTGGGGCTGTGTTCAAGAGAACCGCTAGTTGAGCCTCTCTCAACACACAAAGGAGTAATTTCAAGGCATCCCTACCTGCCACTGTTGACTTTAGGATTGGAACATGCTGTCGATATTATAATTGGTGTAATCACTGCTCTTTCCAAATAAAACAACTACTTTATTTCAACCAATTTCTTGTATTTACGGAGCTTCTTACCCAAATATCTATGTCATTCGGAATCGCGATATCAATAAGCTTTGCCTTCTTTGTTCCAAAAGCTATAAGAATATCTGTTGTGACCCACTGTATTGTCCGTGATGTGCAGGACAATCATCTAATTGAAGCCACATATCCCTTCTCTGTTGTTATGGAATATGTTCAACTAAATCGTAGTAATCATTGTTAAGAAATTCCAGAAATGTGCCCGGCTCAATGGTGCTGAAAATGATGCTCACGAATCGCATGGGGATTTTTTTTCTACGAGCAGAGATGATTATTTTTCTGATTGATGATACCTCTTCTTGTAAAGATAGCTTCATCTGTCCAGAGATTGTTTCCTGAAAATTGTGAATAATGCTCAACTTGATTTAAGTACCAATCTCAAAAATTTCTTCATTGCCGAGAATCTTGCAGTAGTAAATGTTATACCCGTTGATGATGATATGGGTGAAGTCCATCTGCAATGAAAGTTCACCATACTGTAGTTGGCGTAATATTTTATTCTGGTCTCTTCGTACACTGTCAGATGGATTATCATCAAAATATTGTAATATGGTCTCACTCCACTCTGAATTTCGTACAGCAAATGTACCAGTTTCTCTGAAACGTTTAAACGTGGAGCTAGACTTGTTTGGTAATCTTCTATTCGGAAATCGCCTGGCATATTCACGACGGGCAGCAACAGCATTGTAATTGCAAAAACCATATACAAACACCATATCGGCATATTCATCATTATTATAAATGCAAGGCATAATGATGAGTACTCTGCGAAAGCCTTTTACAAACAGATAAATTTTATTGAGAGTGCCGAATAATAATTTCAAATAGTGTTAATCCTTATGTTGCCAATAGTTTTCATACAGTTAAGGTCGTATTCAGCGTTGGCGGACATACTTTCACTTTGAACAACATTTAATATTAATGTTAATGTTTACATTTAATTAATAAATTAGTTAGAACAACTAAATAGATTTCATTTATTTCATATAATGTAAATAATTCATAAAAACGAAAATCTTTAGGTGTGAATATCTCCTAAACAAAGCGTTTGTCGACACATCTTCAGAGGAATTTTTTTTCTTGTTTCGATTTGAGTCTGTCCTTAGTTCATTTTTGCAGTTTGGCCACTTAATCCTGAAATACTCTGTATAATATAATAGATCAACATTGTAATAAAGCATAAGAATAAATTTTATTTTTATTTCTAGCTCACCATGATTATAAGAGAACCCCAACTTGACATGGAGGAACGATTGGATATATTATTCTCAACGATGAAAACGGCTAACAAGGACATACTAGTACAAGAAATGTCTGAAATACTGAAATTGATAACTGCCAAAGTAAAAGATCTGGAAATTGTATCCGAAGAGAGATACAGAAAATCAAGTATGACTTTTTAAAGTTAAAACAATACGATCTCTATAGTTCCTTCCCAGATTTTTCTACACCGGTCTAGTCCTATTGTGAAAAAAATTGGAGCGCTTAAAGTACTTAATACTTTTAGATTTAAAAAAAAAAAATTACAATATTATTTTCCATCCTGAAAGAAGAATCATATCGACGCAAGACGATATAACTTCTCAACATTTTTGCTTATTCAGAAAGTTTTACATCTGTTTCTCTATTGGTATTAATATTAGTATAAGGGGTCTAATATTTCGCAAGACAAAAGTTCTGATATAGTTAAATAATAATAAAAAAATCTTAAATATTTCTATTATCCTGCTAATCTGTCATAAAATTACACAAAGCGATATTAACAACTTAATTCATTGTATAAATTGCGCTGGATATAAACAACACAATTCTGTTTGTATTCGTAGATAATCATATTAAGCTGTCTGTTTATTTATCAACATCGGTAACAGGATTATGTTGTAATGGTATTAACACTGATTGAGAAGAATTTTGAGAACAATCTTTCACTGAAATGATTTACCTCCTTGCTGAACATCTATATATGTAAACGAATTAAATATACTGAAGCTGACAAACCTACTTTGTCAAAAGCATTTCCTTATTTAAACTCCTTCGTATTCCATAACTCTCAAAGAACTTGAGAAATTGTTTGAACAAACGAACCCTACCATCTGTAAATTATACTCTGTAAAAATAAGTCAATTAAAATAATTAATTTGTTATATATTACTAGCTGATGTACCCGTCGTTAACGGGTGTATAGTTAAACTTTGAGATTGTTTTTTTTAGATGGATTTTTTATTATGGGAGGGGGTCCAAATTTATGGATCCTTTTTTTTACGCCAGATCTCTAGATAAATTACTCGAGAATTCATAATTTTGGTTCTACTCAATATTTTGTTGTTATTCAAAGCCTGTTTTAAGTCAAATAAACTTAAATGTAATGTAAAAATTTCAAAAGTCCACTATTAGCCATTGCTGAGCTTACCTCTGACAAAATTTCGTTGGACAATGCGGACATACAGACAGACAAAAAATTTTTTAAAGTGGATTTGGTGTCTGTAATATATGAAACAGAAAGATATCATGAAACGGGTTGATTCTATTCAATGTACAGACAAAACCTTAATTTCATTTATATAGATTAACTTAGTAAACTGCAATTATTTTTCAATAGTCTATTTCCATTGCAATAAATTGAACACAGTTTATTAATAAGGATAAAAAAAATTACAGAAAGCTTCCAAGCCAGAGTTGGACAGTAATTAATTATTTGTATACTAGTGGACCCGTGCGAAAAATTCGCACAGCATATTGTTAAGTGATCAAATTCCAAATAATAAAGAAAAGAAAGTAGTGCAACGTATCATGAGATAAAGAAATCAATTGTTACTTTATCGATAAACATAATCGACAAAGGAAACAAAAATTAATTTAAAACTTTATTAATGTTTGGAACCAACATGTTTACAAAAATTTCAATAAGCTGTATCTTTGCTAAAAATTGTCCGATTTCGATGATTTTTTTAGAAAATTTAGTTATCTTTTATATAATCATGGTCATAACCAAGGGAAAAGTGTGTAATTTTTTAGTTATTCTTAAATAAAGTTTCTTTTCTTTCATGACTTGTTTACATGAATTTTCTGACTATTTTGCCCGCCTGAAGGAGAAGGAAGACTTCGAAATTGGTGACTTAATCTTGGGATTTGGTGGATCAAAAACACCATCGATAAATAATATAAACTCCTCCTCTCTCGATCATAGAGGCCTCAAGTCGACGAAATGAGACATGTATTCAATGACAGTACTACAATTAAGGTGGTGTGGATGCAAACCTTGCATTATCTCGAAAATAGTACGTTTTTTTCTTTTTCCTTTCGTCGGCCCCTGAAATACTGAAGGACTCCCACTGAAATCAAATATAAACTTGATATATTTTAAAATAGAGGATATTTTTAGCAATGAATAAAGTACAATATTTAAAATTGGTGTAATAGTCGGATGCCTTTCACAACACATTACGGCTTCATACCAACAGATTTCGCCTTATTTATCGGTGCAAGTAAACATCCGAAACTCTCGAGTTTTATTCGGGGGAGGCAGGTATCCGACTACTGATTCAAGTTTAAATATTAGTCCAATTTTCCTATCAATCTACCAAGAGGTTTAAGTGGATATCCGATAGTGCAACAACAGATGAGTATGGTGGGTGAGGCAGAACCTCCCACCCCAATTCATTAAATTTTTCCGGGTTCGTATTGGGCAGTGCGATCTTGCATTTTCTTGTTGCAGAATAAAACATTTTCTGTTGAAAATCGCTGGGCACTTTTCAATTAAAGATTGATTTACACGATCCGATTGTTCTCAGTAAAGATCTACCTTCACAGTTTGTCCAGATTCGAGCACTTTTCAAAATGAACAATTCCGCGAATTCACAAAACCACCCAAACACCAAAACCAACATACAAAACCCAAACACACAAACGGGTGTAAACCTGGCTTAACAGTACTTCGTGGCAATTCTTTTATAGAGAGCCAATAAGTTTTACGTCTTGAGTTATCATAATGGATCCATTTTTCATCTTCGGTGATCAAGCAATCAAAAAACGCTACTATATTGTGCCGTTGAAGCAAGAAGTCGCAAATTGTGGTTTCCCAATCTGCTGTAAACGTTCTTGGATGGTCGACCACAATTGGCTAAGACTGTTTGACAATTCGTCGATTGTCTGACATGGATTCGTTTCCACTCCCGCCCTTAAAACATCATTGTTTGACGTTGTTGATCTTCCTGATCGATATTAGACGGAAAAATCAAAATTATCAGATTTGTACTTGAAAAACCACCTTTGGTATTTATAAACGTCTAATGTGTTTGGATAAACATAAAAAAAAAATTTGGTAGCAAGTGTCGCGTTATTATGCTTGCGAAACTCAAAAAGCATGCAATGCCACAGATATGTACCTCTTCAGTTATTTAGATAGCCATTTCACAGAAATAGCAACAACATTTAATAATTTAATTATTAGCAACTTACCGAGACACTATAACCTTAAAATGTCTTTTTCACGAAACAGATGTACACAACGAGCTGCCAATATATCAATTTGTATTATTATAATTGCCCTTATTGCCAATTTGTAACAATAATAAGAGATAAATAATTCTGGTAATAAGAATAGTGGTTATTCGTTACGGTCCGTCACGCTTTGTATATGTAAAATAAAATATTACATGATAGTTACTAAAAACGTATTAATATAATAAATTGTAGGTGATAATTCCAGTTACTTCGGCTCAACTAATAATTGTAATTGTGAACCACTATTATAATTGCATTCACTAAGTAATTGTATTTAAAATAAATTTAAGCCCAACAATCAGAGAGTGATAATGCCATGACACTTTTTTCAGTGCAGCAACAAACCGGCGACTTTAATAAATTTTACGAGACAGAAGAGAACTTTTTCAAGAACATGGAACTTTGCAAGAGGATGTTCAACCTCTTTTTAAAAAGTCTCGAGAGGTATTGGCCAAATCCCAACTTGAAGAAAATACTACACTCCAATGATTTATGTAAGTCTTTCATGAAATACTTTTTATTTATTCAAGTACTTCACTATTTTTTGTATTGAAATTTCAAATCATCTTATCAAGCAAACAGTAAAGTTTTAATAATAGAGAACCAGTTTTTAATATATTCGGAATCCCAATTAATATTTGTTTTATCACATTAATTCAAAATCTTTATTCAATCCTAAGATCATCTATTCCATAATCACTCGTGTTACCTGTATTTCCCCAAAATTTTGTTTATCATAAAGTGAATAAAAAGATTTTAACACATTTATTAATTAGTAAAGCAATGTTGCCTAGATTTTATAATATATTCAAGGAATATTTTTAAAAGGTACCAACTGAAATATTTGAATCACATTTTTAATAAACATATCAGAAATAGGTTCATCGTTCGAAAATTTGTTTTATTTTATAATTGAGTTTTTATTTAACACAAGAATATATATATATATAAGGTCTGATTAAAGACCGAAAACGGTAGCCATGAGAGAAAATATATCCAGGAGGACATCTCATTTTATTGAAGTCAGATATATATATATATATATATATATATATATATATATATATATATATATATATATATATATATATAGCTACCGCTTTCGGTCTTTAATCAGACCTTGATCATGCTACATAATTAACAACAACAATAAAAAACAAAAATTTACAAAACAATCTGTAATAATAAAACAAAATCTTTACAATTAACTAACCAATTTAATATATTATTAAAGAAAAAACTGTTTATCACCTAACGTATGATAGTACTCCTGCTTGTCAAATGAAGAGGACTAAAAGCAAAACTATTGCCCAGATGGAACAACTCCTCACTCCTTATGTTTTGAATTTTGCTCATTCAGGCATTATACGTTCTTTTTTAATTGTTGATTTTTTTCCTTATCTCAATTTTTTTATGAAAATTCATTAATTTTCCTTTAGATTTCGCATGTAAGAGTTTAGGGTATTACTATTATGTGGGTGTGAACAATTTTTAAAATTTCCCTTGAAGTGTGATATATTGCCAGACCCAGGGAGGTGTTCTTTAATACAGTTCTTTAGTTTATTTCCTATCTATCCGATAACGGCAGAACATGAACATTCGATCGAATAAGAACCACTCTTACATAAAGGTTTAGTTTAGTCCTTAGTGCTTAGTCCTGGAAGCCATACTTTTTAAACTTTTATACGGTCTAAGGTCCAAAATTTTACAATTGTCATTTAAGACTAGAGCAGGGTTCTCATGGAGTCCTGCTTTTCCCTCCATAGTTGGAGACCTCGGAGTTGTCTCGCCTGATTGTAAATAGTGTATGTAGGTATGTTTGTGTTTTTTGTTTTCTTTTAATTTGCTTATTTTAAAGTTATTTTATTTTATTATTATATTGCATATACTGTTTGATTATTATTTATTTGTTATTTTGCTTCTGTTTATATATATAATTTTTGTTTGTACATATAGTGTAAATGTTATCTTACCTCAATATAACCAGTGTCCAAGTGATAGAATGATGTAATATTCAGTAAATAAATAAATTTTAAAAAGTAATGAAATTTGGAAATCAGTTAAGACAATATTTTAAACGTGAATTCGAAAAAATAAATAGATATTTTACCAAATATACATATAACACGAATACATTGGAGAACATAACTCTGTAATATAGTAGATAGGAATACAACAGAATATAATATACACGAAGACAACGTTTTTTTATTGATTTTTTTTTTCAATATGTTTACTAGGCAAGTATTTGCTAGCAAACATTTAGAATTCTTTTTAAAATGATCACGACAAGCCATAGCATATGTTAAATAACTTACATGGTTCTATTACGAGATTTATTTATTATATAATTTATTTAATTTAAATTAGTTATATAGCTTACGTATTTTATATTCAGTATTCTATATGTAGTATTTACAGAACATTGTTATTTTTAGAGATTTATTACAATTTTTTTATTGTACTTTGTTTATTACGTTTATTGAGTCTTCATTTTGAAATAAATCATAATGAATATTAAGCAAATGAATCTGCATCAATAACTGACTTTACCATGCAATACTTCGATAAGCACTCCCTGGCCATATTCTAAATAATAATAATATCAAATACCTTCCAAGAAAATTTCAAAGATATTTTAATAATTAATTTAGATTAAATTAATGCTAGATATTCGGATCATTAAATCAAGCTAGAAACTTATTTTAGTTTATTACAGCTAATTGACCTAGAAGTCTGAACAAAGGAATGCTTAATATCAGACAACTACAGAGAAGGTATTTCCAAGTCTTAGTCCTTAAAATGATTTGACGGAGGGGCAAAAAAATTTAATTTAAATTTAATGATAACAAGAATTATTTAATAAACTAAGATAAAAAAACAATTACATAGTGGATGTACTTTTTTATACTAACTTTTGATAATATTTTGATTCACGTCATTTTTGAGTTCTAAAATTAAACCTATAAAATTAAATTACTAATACCAAAAACAAAAATGGCAATAATATTTTTTCAACGGTCATATGTTAACTAATTAGTTTAAAAAATAACATACAAAAAAATATATGAACTCTTAGAACTTCTTATTTAAACTCGAACATTTTCATCAAAAATCGCGTAGTAGAATTCCTAAGAAATTATTATGAATACAAAGTATGAATTGAATACGAAAATGAAGTGAATACGAATTATTCACCAATTGTATTTGATACTATTGGGATATCAAAGATACCACTATTTTAAACTAACCTTTATGATAGGATGATAATTTGGTGGTTTTAAGAAAATAAAGTTCTTTCTCGTACACTTACGACATAAAAAATATTTAATTGATAATTTTGTTGATTTAAAGCAATTTCAAACATCTGTGCAGTATTGAATAATATTTAATCACAATTGTTTATTTTATTTAATTGTTTACTGATTTGATGTTCTTCATGCTATACTCTTGCTGGACAAGATAAAAACTTTATTATTAATACATTTATTCTCCCAAATAAAAAACTTTAAATTAAAGACGTTATTAAAATACGAGAGGGAAGGCCCATCCCATAGACCATTTTAATCACTAAGAAAAATAGAAAAAATATGGAAGCAAAAAGAATTGAAGTAATAAATTCACGAAGACAATTAATTATATTGGAAATACAAATATTAATAATCCGTATTTATTATTGCGATTGATCCTCTTAAATATATTTAAAAAAAGTTTAAACGTAGTCAACAAACTTTTTTTACAGCCACTCTTTTATTCTTTTTTTCTAAAATAATTGTATAATGCTGAGAATCAATTAGCGTAAATATTTGAAGGAATTTCTTACTGTTGTGTCTTTACTAATAATGATCCGATTTCAATTATTCTTTTTACGTTTTGCAGGTAATTTATACACTTTTAAAATCATTATGGATTTTTTTTTTTTATGCCGGCTCAATCGTTGGATTTGACGAAGGATTAACAAAGAAATGCCGTACTGACAAAAAAACAAAGTTGAGAAATAACGTATAATGATTACAACCGTACCGTGTGGTCATATAAGGAATTAATAATTAAATAATAATATACCCTGTATGTTTTTTACTTTATAATAAAACTTTAGATGGGCTTTTCTTTTTTTGTGTGCGTTTTTTTTATTTCGTTTAGTATGAATTTATCATAATTTTTACTTACACTTCCAGGGTTGTTAACTTTGTTAAGATAACAATGAGTCATTATTATGGAGGAATTTCTTGCGGTTGTTTCTTTTTTAATAATGGTCCGATTTCAATTATTCTTTTTACATTTTGTAGGTAATTTATACACCTTTCAAATCATTATGAATTTTTTTTTATGTCGGTTCAATCATTGGATTTGACGAAGAATTAACAGAGAAATGGAGTACTGACAAAAAAAAAGTTGTGAAATAATTTATAATGATTATAACGGTGCCGTGTGGTCATATAAGGAATTAATAATTAAATAATAATATGCCCTGCCTGATTTTTACTTTAAAATAAAAAATATCTTAAAGCAGCTTACCTGAGAAAAGCTTAAACTTTCTTCTTTAGGTCTCGGGAATGTTAATGTGAATAAGTAAATGAGCGGTCGACAGGCAAATAATTAAAAATGAAAACTCCTTTAGCGGATAGAAGTCATTTAAGCCGTGAACAGAGACTCCAGCTTAATATTAAAGGCATTAGGGCTGAAGTATTTAGTAACAGTCTGCAGCTACAATGCTGAGGTTTGCCATGGCAACTGTTAAATTACTTTACCTCTTAGTTGAGAGCAAGACAAATGTTGCCTCTGTGTGTTGGTTAACTTCAGCACCACGTTCGGCAGGAGTTTGAATTAAGAACGTTACATGTTTAATGTGAAAACCGTACATACCAGACATACATAAACTTGCTTACCTTCAAAACATTAATTTTCTATTGTTAATTTCAAATAAATGTGCCTTTGTTATTTAAATATATGAAGCGTTTTAAATTTAAAAAAAAAAAAGATACAAATTATTTCACAATGGTTTATTATTTTCAAGCGGTTATATATCTAAAGTAACATTACCTTTCTAGTAATAAAGTGAAATATATAAAAGGCGATTCCTATTATTGGCCTTAACAACGTTTTTTTCATAATTAGTAATTTGAAAAAAAAAACAGCATTACTTCAATAATACTTTCGAAAATCAAAAACCAAAACATAGAACATAACTTTCAGTAGAACATACAAAAAAATATATAGAGACCATATCTTTGTTACAAATTGTCCGATTTTAACGATTTTTTTTTTTTTTTTTTTTGGAATCAATATCAACAAAAAGTTTATACTTTTTGAGTTATTCGGAATCTCATTTTACCACCCCTTGTAACTTTTTTCTTTTCGTTGAAGTAAGCTGTATAGATAAATTTAAAGGGCATCGAGAGCAAGACTTTAGCAAAGTTTCATTGAAATCGGTACATTCGTTTAGGCGCTACAGTCTATAGCAACACAGGTTTTCGGCCGCTATCTTGAAATA